ACAGCATTCTGGTGTCGTGTGCCTAGACACTTCTGGCTAGGGAAGGGGTTGTCATGGCCCTGGACCTGGGCTACCATTTTGAAAAAAGCATGGTTTTTTAACTTCTGACCTGTATCTGATCTATTGCTGGGAAGGAAACGGTTGTCCAGGATGAGGCAATGGGAGAGAGGATGAAAAGATGACCTCCTGTCATCTAAATACATTAGTACTTTGCCTCCCCTTTGCCATTGCCAAGTTCCTGGAGTTGTTAGTTCCACTGGCTAGTGCTTAGTTTGCTTTTAATTTGTTTCTTTTTTCATAAAGCCGTATTAAGAACCCAAGTCCACTCCTTTGCCCTTGCATCCATTTTATCCTTGTACATTTTTGAAAGCTGTTACAGTGCAGAACAGCAGTGATGCCACAGGACTGAATTGCAGAAGTCATTTGAAGGTAGTTTTACGTCCTACAGTTTGAAGCCTGTAGATCTGTTAAGGTTTTGCTTTTGTTTTTATATAACTTGAAAAGACAGTACAAAAAAGGGGCTTTTCCAGTCTTGTCTGTTTTGATATCCTCTCCCTGTCCTTATCTGAGTACAAAGATACCTTTATCTTAAAAATGGTGGTGAGGCCTTAAGTTCCCCAGGTGACTGTTACACTATCATTGTTCTGGTGTTGTGTTTTGATCTTCACTGTACTGGTATGGTTACTGGGGAGCAGGTGTGGGGGACTGGTGTGGATTTACCTGTAGTGACTGGTTGGGGGATTTTTGTCAACTTTCTCAAATAAAATTTCTTTGGGGAAAAATAACCCACCTCAGTTGTCTGTGTGAGTCTTGTCCTCTTTGTGCACGTTCCCACCGACTGCTGTTTCCTGCAAGCTGACCTGTCACTGGAAGCAGCAAGGCCCCCCGCAAGCCTTTGAGAGGTTTCTCTAGCAACAGTTGATTTCTAAAGAAGTTGAGAATTCCAGACTCGGGAAAGGTACCAGCTGCACATGCTTCTCTGTGGAGTGGGACCAGCACAGCAAGCGAGGTGTCTCTAATACAGGTTACCGTTTGTTGCCTTTCTTCCCCCCCTTCCTAATTATATCCCTCTTTGTGGAGGAATTTTGAAGCTGATAGTGAAACAGGGCTGGTGCTCTAGAGTACAAGATCCAGTTTTTCACTGTGAGCTCCCATGTAAAATTTAGTTCATTAAGACAAATGGAATTACTTTCACTTTTGTGCTTTAGAGGAAATTTTAAATTGTTGCAAAAATGAGTTTGTCCTATGTGAGTGGCAAATGCTTAGTGAAGAGAATGGTCAGGTATTTACCAAACTGCTGTCAGATCTCTGCTGACCTGTGAGCCTTCTGTCGCGCAGTAGCCAAGTGAGATACGCCACGTAACAGGACTGGTGGCACATAAGTGCTACATAACTAGTTGGTATTATCAGGGAGAATTTCAAGAAGGGAAATTCCCTGATCTTTGGATAAAGATTAGCTTCTGCAGGTTCTTGCCCGGATGAATATTTGAGTATGTGAAATTGTACAGCTGTTCTCATGCGGTAGGTTGGCAGTGGGTCTGGGCTGTTTTACAGCACTGCGGATGCAGAGCTGGTGTCTTCGTTCCATTTTACTTCTGGGAAATGGGCTAAAGTTGAGCTGTTGCAGATACTTGGGTCTGAGCCCATCTTTGTGTGTGACAGATGCATTGCTGGTAAATCTGTAATTGCCTGTAGCAAACTGCATCAGACGTTTCCAGCCTCTTCCACCCACTTGTCAATGTGACTAACGATTTAATTATCACACTACTTAACACAGCGCATGAGCATTCCTAAGTAAGGTATATCTTCGCGTATTCTTCCTCCTGCTATGCCAATGTAGGCTGCACCCTGTACAAAGTGCCTGCTGCAGCTGCTGTGTGCATGCACGCGTAAGGGGATGAGCATTTTACACACTGTTTCTCATTTCTTACAAGCTGCTCAGGTGAGAAATAATCCAAGTGTACAACGCCTGGGTTGTCTCCTAACTGGCAGGTCAGGGACTTCCAACTCAAACTAGTTTGGCAACTCGGTTGGTGAGATCATTAGGGGATTCCTGCCTGTGCATTTCACGGGGTCCTGCAGCAGAAATTTGGGAAAGTAGTGTGGCCTCTCCTCAACCCTGCTAGTTGTGTTGTGTGAAACACATCATGTGATGTGTTTCTGTCTGTCTCACATCTATAGTTGTGTCCCTCCGCTCTACTTGTCTTTCAGATGCCTGATGGCTTTGCCCTTAGTGAACGAAGTCTCTGGGAACTTCCCGTACATTGAAGGTGGCTTGTTGGGAAGGAGAGAGCACAAACCTGAAATGGATACATCTTTCACAAGAGGAAAAAAGTTGGGTCTGGTGAAGACTGCAGGAGTTCAGGGTTGGTAGTTTTGTCTGCTGCCCCTTCTCCACCTGAAAAATTTGTCAGGCTTGTGCTTGTTCTGTTCTTCCTCCCCCAAACCACTGCTGGTGGTGGTGTGGTGGCTCTGGCAGGCCTACCTTTCTCTGAGGAAGGTGGAAGGAGCAGAGGATTTAGAAAAACTGCCTGTTGACATTTCTTGGACCTTTTTGTAAACCTGGAACAGGTGAGCCCAAGCTTTTGCTGCAGAATTAAAATACTTGTATTTGCTCAGCAGTGTTTGTAGGAAGCCTGTTTTGCTTTGCACTGGAAGGAGCCAGGAGTTGTTTTGTTTCAGCTGCAGCCAAAGTGACTTAAACTTTCTGTAAAATGGCAATAATTGATGCCTGATTATTCCTTCTGTTGCTAGAGGTGCATTTGGTTTATCACCTTAAACTAAATGCATTAGCTTCTGCACTTCCAGCTTGCTGACGCAGCCTGCCAGAGGACCTGTGATCTCTAGGTGTCTGTCCCAGTGACCTTTGCTATGAGGATGATTTGTTTAGCTCATGTTTGGAGAAGGCTGCTGTGTCCTGAAGGACCCATCTGACTTGTATTCCAGTTTTTGCAATAAAATGTACATGTGGAATAACTTTCTTGGGGGGAGCGTTACTCAAAAAAGGCAATGACAGAACCATGCTCACATTGCTCAGTCTCACTTCCGTGGTTTCCTGTCACTTAATTTCCTTTCATAGCTGATATTCCTGAGGTACCTTTTCCCTGAGCTTTTAAATCAGTTGCATTATGTGGTCTTTGCATAAACTGCACTTGGTTTTTCTTGTTCCTACGGCTGCCACACAGATGAGGCAGGCAGAGGGGAGGGCGCGCTTGTGTTTTCCCATTGCAGCTCTGGTCTGATCTGCTGCAGAGCTTTACCCTCTAGGGTTTTCTCACCCATACCAGCTGCTTGGTCTTGTATTTTTCCCCTGAATATACTTTGTTTGGATAATCTTCCCCCAGGTGTAAGATATTTGCTATACATATGTAACTGGAATCTCATGGTATTGTCTTCTTAGTTATAATTAACCTTAATGTAGATGCCTTGTCATTTCTTCCTTCACAGTGTGGGCTGCTCTTTCCTTGTGTTAGTAACATAATCAATATACTGTCTCAATATACTCTGAAAACCATGAATGAGATCTTTGAACTGAAGTTGATACTTGCTGTGATTTGGTTGAAATGACAGTGTTCCTACCCTTATCCAAATTCATCCTTCAGCAGTGATTTTGCAAAAGGCAAAATAGCACATTGCCTCTAGGTGGTGTGATTTCTTTAAAAGCTTGAATAAAAAATTCAGTGTAAAGTCAGGTGTATATTCTTCAGTCATATTCCAATAAACCTGAGTGGGCAGCGGCTGCTACATCCCTTAGGGGCATCTTGCTGTGCTTTCTAAAGCGTAGTGAAGGCAGCGCTGTGGGGTGGCTAAACCTGATTGTAGCTACTACTGTGATCATTTTATGGAAGAATTTGTATGGTACTGTAGATAATAACGGGCAAGAGAACTCCACTTTTCAAGTCGGAAAAATGAAGATTGACTTTTTTCAATTAGTCTTGAGGTTTTCTGCAACTGCTCCAGATTCCTTAATCCCATTTCCATGAGATTCTGCCATCTAGATTTTTTTTTTTTTTAATTATTATTATTTGCCAGATGACATTTTGCCAGGTACTCCCCTTGCAGAGGAGGGAGTGAATGATCCTTAGCAGACACGTGTGAGCTTTTTCATGCCTTCCTGCAAGCTCCTTTATTCTAAAATTGACATGCTGTCTTTGCTGCTTGGAAAGACAACATCTTCATATGGAATTAGTTACGATGCGCAGCAAATAAACTTTGCTGGATAAGTTACTTTTAAAACAGGCGCGTATAATGCTGAACAGCTCTCTAACCCTCACCACATTGCAAGGAACCCCGCTTGTTGTTTCATGCTCTGAGCAATAAAGCATCTTCCCAAGGTAGTGGGATAAGAGCTAACCAGGCTTTGTCGTACCTGGTTTTAGGGATTTGTGCTTCATCTCCTGACATCTTCTGTAAGTGTAGGATCACCTGTCCTGAAGTGAACGTTCCCCCTCGTTCAACTCCGCTTTCCCATCTGTGGTTGTGACTGCTGAACTTTGAAAACAAAATATTGAAATGATGATGGTGTGCATTATCTACGAAGAAAATAAATCACTTA